ACAGTTTTTCAGAAAAGAATCTGGATCACGAGCTGAGCATGAGCCAACAGTGCTGGTGCTGCGGTGACAAAGGTGAACACCACAGCAGGCTCCATAAAGCCTGCGAAGCAATCCCGGGGATGTGCCCAGCGCCGTCCTGCCTGACTCCCTGCCTGCTGGCACACGGCTCAGTGCGGAGTGCCGTCTCCGTGATGGAAGGATGGGTGCTGCACATAGGCTGGTGTAACCTCGTTAGCTGCTTTTTCTGTTTCTCGATGATTGTGGTGAGTGTGCTAATATTTCACATGCCGTTTTCTGCATTTCTTATAATAGTAGTGAAATAATCATGTCCTTTTAGGTTGGCATCGAAATACATGGAAAAAGCTAAGTAGGATAGTAATCCTCAACCTGGAAAACAGATGGTTGAAAGAGGATAAAACAAAGGACTGTTTAATCACAGGCATCATGGAGAGAGTATACAGGGCGCGAACACATGCCTTTTGTCGTAACAAAAGTTTCACGTTCAGCTAATAGGGACGTGCACAAACAAAACAACAGGAGATGCCTACCTGTGTGGTAAAACAATGGAGCTTCCCATGTTAAGGCAAGTTAGGGTGTAGGATGTTAAGGATGCAAAAATTCTATGTGTTTAAGGAAAAACTGGAGACGTTTGTGAAACAGAAATCTACTGTGAGTTATTATTAAAAAAGTTTTGGAATTCCCCAAGTTTCAAACTGGAGTTAAGGAGAAATTTCTGGTGAACTGTCACTCTATGGTCGTTGGACTCTTACAGTGCTGATGTTTGGTCTCAGCAGGTACAGCTGTTCTTACACGTTTTATGATATCTGTGAAATGTGCTTTGTAAAATAATACTCAAAGCATTTATTGCCCAGCTCTCTCCATCAAGCTGTTTAGGTACAATACGGTCAGTGCCTGTAGATCCCACAGGTTGCAGCATGATTGTTTCATGCATTTACGAAAATAAAAAAATACTAGCATTTTGTTTTCCTTTACAGCTTTTTTCATGCAGTTTTATTTAGGTTCAAGTTGCTTTGTGTTCTGAATTGGACTTTAAATATATTTATCACCTATAGCCTATCTTGCCTAATATTTTGATAGAGAAATAATATTTGTTGCCCTATCCACTAGTTTTGAATGACAAATGAGTTCTTTTCTCTACAGACAGACTGTCTTTAAGTTACTAATGCACCTTGTCAATAACAAAGGCATCTTAGCCGAAAACACTGCCTGGTTTATTCACCTGTGTTATGCAAAGGTCTTTCTCCAATGTGTCTGCCCTCTGCAAATTGGTATGCAGAGCAGGTTAACTAGACTTTAGTGTGTGATATTTCCAGAGTGGAACAGGGCTTTTCAGAGTTTAAACAGAAATAAATGATTATGATGTGTTGTTGCTGTAATTAATGATTAGTGTAAATTCACAAAGAACAGCTTGTCATTAAGCAGTTCATTCACACAAAGATGACTCTTTCATGGACTGATAGTGGATCAGTCAGTGATCTCTTTTTGGAAATAATTTGGGCTTATTTTGTGGAATTTGAAATATTTTGAAACTATTTATATAAATTTTTCATTGAATATTATGATCTTATGACATTCTTTTGCATTCTTTGCTATTCTAAATTCTATACTTATTTTTTAATGTCTTTTTCTGTTTCAATAGTGTAAGAAAATGGATATCAAGTTCAGTAAACAGCTCTTAAGAGCTTATTAAGATGTATCAGAAAAAATTACCGCAATTCTCGAGATTGATCCTGTACAATGAAGATTTATGTCATTTTTTATATGCTAAGTTCAAGGTCATTTGCCTCAATGAAATCTGTCCTTTTACCTTACTTCCATGCTAACGAAGGTATTTTCTACTGTCCATGTAATAATTTAATTATTATTACTGCACTGAATAGAAAGAAAAGTTACTGTATCAGAAATTGTTGTTTCTTTACTTTTTCTCTGACTTGTAGATTTGGGGCTCATTTATACTCCAGACATTTACATCACTTTGGCTACACAAATTAGCTTTCGAACAGAAGCAAAAGTAATTTTAAGGTCCGTTTAAACCGAAAGTAGGACAGAGTATCCTCAGAATAAATAAAGATCATACTGTTCATGTTTAACTTAAATTCCATCAGCATCCTAGGTATAAGCAATTCAGAACAATATTTCCCCTATTGATATTTGAACGTAAAATCTTATTCCTCCAAGGGAAAATACAGTGAAGTAGGTGGCAGTGTTAAGATTTTTTTATATTTTTTTCTTGATTGCGTAATGCCCTTTTTTACTTTCACTCTTTATTTAGGCCAGACTGTTCTTTTCTTATTTTTAACTTTTCAATTCCCTTTGTTCTTTTATGATATTTTTAAGGAACGTTCCTCTTCAAATTGAGCATATAACATGTGATGTTTTAAAAAAGAAAGATCCGAAGGTCTCTGCCTAGGTCCTTTTCTTGCTGATTGTGTACCCCCGTTATGTAACTTCATAAACTAGGCTATTGTGAAGTTTATTTGCCTGAGTTTTGTCTAGGGAGGTATGTGTACTTCTGAATAAGTGACAAGGCTGAGGTACACATCCTTCACTCGCACTAGTGACCCGATCCAGCCTGTCCCAGCTTGTCTCCTGGTGTTTCAAAATAGCTGTCTTTTGTTCATTATGTTCTGAGTTACTTCTCAGCTGGATCTGGTGCCGTTCCTAAAAATGCTGCTCAGCTCTGCTTCGTTGTAAAATCACACAGGTTGGTTTCAGTTACACGCTGACACAGTCTGGGACACAGGAGGTTTGAACAGGTTTGTCCTCGTACCATGCAAGAGCAATTGCAGCACAGACTTCCAGCAAGGGAAGTACCTGCCGTCTCCTAACTGGGACCGATGCTTGATGCTGCGAATACATCTCCCCTCCTTGGCTCACTGTGAGAGTTCTTCAGTGGGTGAAAATATGCCATTGTTTTCAAAAGGCTGAGCCTGAATTTTTGGTTACTGCTATGTTTTTAAGAGAGGTCAGCTCTCGTGATTTTGCTCTTTCTCTGCAAAGACATAGCTGTACTTTTTGCTTTCTCCATATTATCACAGTATACTCCTTTGGAAATTGTCCTATAGCTCCACTTCAGAGTAGTTCTGACTTTTAAATTCATGTGGCTGTAATGACTCTATCTGTCACTCAGCACAGTGGAGCTGGCTGCTTAACAAGAAGTACTGTTTTAGAAAGAACGTTCTAATAAATTTGGCACGAAACAACTTTTTTGAAAATACCATATACGCATTTGTATTTTCCAGTTGTTCTTTTTGGAAGTGAGAGTCCTGGCCTTCAATTAGTGTATTTGAAAGTTATTTAAATATTGTGAAAATCCTAGAAAAGCACAGATATCTTTGAAGACATTTCTTCCTGCACATACCATAGCGTTTTCATGCACATACCATAACAAGAACATTTGTTATTTATTGTAAGTTGTTCTTCAGTGTCAACTCACCTCATGCAGATTATCATGTCAGCACTTCCATGGCAGAGACAAGAACTAAAACTCCTCTTCATGTGGATAAATTGACCGTCGAAATAAGTCTACTGGCATTTAGTGAGCTTAGAAATTTAACCAGTGTTCCTACTCTGCCTGGGCAGGGTTTTATATACTGGTTAGCTGCCATCCAAAGCTTTACTGGCTCCTTTTTTCAGGTGAAATGCACAGTATCACTATCATAGATTTTATTATTCATTATGTTTTAATATTGCATTTTCAAGGATCTAATTCCACAATGGTGTTGAAGTCCTGGTTGCTTCAAAGGGACTCAGTGTAGATGCAGGAGTCAAGAATGATGGAACCTTTTGGTGACCTGAGATCAATAGCTGCAAACCGATGGAAAGTGCAAAGCACTGAAGTGGAATATGTGTCTTTTGAGCTCTTCCTCTCTGAATAATGTCCTGAGGCCTTATTGGTTCACTCATAATTTTGGAAAATTTTAATGATTGTTTAAATTAAGTAATCCTTCAGCATATATTCTTTTGTTTTTTTAAAAAAAAAAAAAACTTCCATCAAAAGTTATAAGGGAAGAAATTTCCTGTTTTGAAAACGACACTGAGATTGTGTATAGCCATTGGTATGCCTATCCACATGGAATTTTGGAACCTTGCTTCGTTTTCTAGATATTAGAAAAAATCATATAGTTTCTAGTCACCACTATTTTCCTAGGAAATGGGATCAGCTCAGAATTTTAATGAGACTGAAAAATTGAGACTAGTCTACTGTGCTATTCTAATAATTGTATTTATCTTCAAGCTATATTTGTGAGTCCATGTGGAGATGTGGAGCAGAAGAGAAGGAAAGGGACATTGACAAGGGAAATACATCTCTTCTGTTCAGGAAAACTTATGTTGGATTTGTTCAAAAGCCAAGTGAATTAAAAAGTCATATACAGACAAATAGTTATTTCCATGAAAACATTTTCCTGCTCTGAAATGAAAATGTTTTTAGCGATTGAGTAAAAGAAGAAATCAAATTTGATGATCTCTAAACTGCAACTCAGTCTGATTTTTACTGCACGTTGGAATTATCACTAATTTTATTACACATTCTAACTTGTTATATAGAACGTATTTTCATCTTAAAACTAACGCTATTTCTCTCCCTGGTGAATGACTTCAGTAATTACAAAACCACCTAATTGATCCTTTATATTGTTTACTGGCTTCTTTGATGAAACAGACAAGCACTTTTTATGGCTTCTAGATTATTTTATTATTTTAGGATTCTGTGAGGAAAAAAATGGGGTTTTTACTTCAAAGGGATCCCATTTAAGCTGACGCCTCAAACTTCTCCCTGAATGAATTCTTGTCTGTAGATTTTTTAACTGTGCTACGATTACATATAAGTACTTTGAGTTTCTGTTTTGTTTCGATCTATTATTTGTGTTTACAAATTATGTCTTCAGCATTGAAAGCTCTGCAGAAAATCAGGAAGTGTTTGTTTCTGAATACATTGCATTTCTCCCTCCCCTTGTTTTTATTCTTTATTGCTCCAGTCAGTGCGCTGAAGCATGACAAGAGCTCAAACTCGGCAAACTTCCAAGATGTGGAGGATACGCCTGACAGATGTGTCTTGGAAGAGTCCGAGAGTCCAGGTGAGAAGCATTTTAAAGACAGTCACCAAGTATCAAGTGATAAATCTGACACAGCTTTTGGGTCTGTTAAAAAAAGCACATTGTAATGCTGTTTCCTTTTTAGCAGCTGCAATGTCAAATTAATGGTCACCTCCAGGGGTCACAGTGTGGAGCTGTTATCCTTTCCTCTTTCATCAAGAATTCAGGTCTTAGAAAGGATAAAGGCTTTATGACCAAAAAGAAAGCTGACACTACTAGTTCATTATAATTAGTTTTGGACTACACTGCTTACTTAATATATGTACAATGTCTGACCCTTTGAAGGTACCATGAGATTATGAAAAATTGGAAGAACTGTGCATAGTGCAGTTGAATGTAGCAGTGGACATTCAAACTCAGTATCTCTGGAGGAAAGCAAATTGATAGTGTTAAATAGCTTGATTCTTTTCTTTAAATCAGCTCACAATCATTATTTCATTTTAATGGCTCTTAACATTGATTCAGCTAAATACAGGAACATCCATAAAGTGCATTCTTTTTGGGGACTAAAAGATTTATCTTCATGTAGTTTCATTATCTTTCTCGTTATGGAACATCTATGAAATTTATTAAATGAACCCCAAAGGGAAACAATTAAATATAAAATATATCGAGTCACAGCTGATTAAAAACATTCTGTTTGACTAAATACTAAATTCTTTTAAGCAAACTGTGAGCTTGACCCACTTACATTGCATACATAACCTGCACGTAGTCCTCATTAGTGAAAGAGTTAAACATCTTTCTTCACTTGGTATTTTCCTTCCCTGCTTTATCTGGTTTCTGTGTACCCTCTTGCATCTTTGTGTGCTGATCCGTGTATCATATTTTTGATTCATCGTCTCTGCGGCCTGTCAGCTTAGTTAAGAGATTTCCAAATCTTGCAGCCTGTGCTGACAGGGGGCAGCTGCCAACAGTCCCCTGATCCTTCCCCAAGGAACGCTGCTGAGATTTAATTTTCAGTCAAAGGGTGCAGTCTGAAATCCATGTCAGGTCCCCTAAGTCATCTCAGAACCCAGATAGGACCCATGTCTGGGGGATTATATTTCAGCACACTCCACTCCTCCAAGATTCCTTGGGAGTTCAGCCACTGTCATATACCTGATTTGAACTACATTCCCTTTTCATCTTTTCCACAGACATGAACACCAGTATATGTCAGAATAATTGAAACCAATGAATTGTAAATCTGTATTCATTTTAAAGCTACATAGGCTTGGACTCAATGCTGTACAGCAAAAACCAGTGTGAAATTTAGAAGGAAACAGATAATCTACTCAGGAAGGAGCCCGGTTTAATTCCTTACCGCACCAGCAATCTGTGGTGCATGCCACCTCCTTCAGAAACTGTCTGTAGTCCCTTCAGTGATGATTATGGGCAAAAATGTGGATTGTCCAAGTTCTGATCTGTTCTGAAGTAAGAAAGAATTAAAACAAGATGGCACTAAAATGTTTGGGTCAGAATTAATAAACCTTAAAGATAACGTTACTTTTAACCTTAAATTAATTCTGTGTGGCAAAGTGTACACTTTTGGACGGGAACTTGAATATCCAATTCTGCACTCTGCATATCTATATGAAGCAATGGAAAGAATAAAAGCCTGTCAGGAGGTGAATATTGACTGGCAAAAATACATGTTGATAAAGCACCTAAACTTAAAAACTGAGTTCCATTCGGTCCATCTGACATCATTAAACTAGTAATAAACAATGAATTACTCTGGCTTTTGTTTCTGTCCATTCCTGCATTTTAAGACATCTTGTCTTATAGGTCTGAAAACCTCAGGAGATTTCACTACTGGTCTCACTGCTTTCCACTGAGAATTTGTGGCTTGGTTGTCATGGAGACATCGTATTTCTCCAAGAATTGCTCATATTGATCCGTGGACAGGCGTAAATGGCCAGGCGAATGTGAGGAGTAAAGGGGGTTGGGCAGTACTATAAAATGACCAGAGGTTATGGGTCGGAAATAAGCTCATAGCAAACACTTAGGTAAAGAGAAAGAAACAGTTTCATTTTGTTTCAGGATTTCGTTTTTGCACTTTATGCCATTGTCTTCTTTCACTGTAGACTGAAAGAAACTTGTTAGTCACTTGTCATGTCAGATCTTCGGTGCTTGTCCTGACACAGCTGTCAGCCTTCCAGCTCTGTGCAGTTCAGGGACACACAACAAAGAGCGAGGAACATGAATTATTTATTGCTCCTTGTGTGGATGAAATTCTGTGATAAGAAATTAAGACACTTCTGACAGAAGTGCTTGTTTGAAAGGAAAGATTTGGTAACACAATACATTTACTTAAAACTTACCACTTACTTTTAGTAGCAAACATTGAAGCGATGATGTGACATTCAGTTGGCTAGGATTTTCTCTAGTATTTCTCAGGTGCTTTAGCTTTGAATTGTCTCTTGGAATTCAAGAGTGCCTGGGAGGTCAGAATTTGGTTTGCTGAAAACTGTGACTTTAGAATCTCTCTCACACTTATTCGAAGTCTGGGCAAACTTACAAACTTCATTTATAGATTTTTATTAAAAGTCTGTATATGTGTTTTACAGAGTCTCTTGCGCTTCACTTAGAATATGTTGCCATATGTGCAACAGTAATGTTAATAAATATATTGCTTTTATTATCTCTTCTGATGAGAAAAAGGTGAAAATATGACAATATACCTGCAAGGGATTCCAACTATTCCTAGAAAGGGTTCTTTATTAAAGCTTCTACCAGAATCAGCCGTTAACAGACGTATCTGTGCCTTGTGTTTTCTCATGGTGAAAGGTGGACTCCCTAACCTTGACATTAGACCGAGAGTTATTTTCAAAGCGATCTTAATTTTCTAAAATCACATAATGCTTATTCTGCGTATTTTACTTTCACATTTTCTGTGTGTCTGCACATGTTCTCACTGCTCTGGATGTGGGCCTCCAGCAATTGTAGAAAAAGGCATATACTCAGATGAATAGCAGGAATCCATTTGACTACCCAAGACACCAATCTGAGATTTACCTGTGATTTCTTGTGTTCGATGTGTGATCTGAACTACTCTCAGATAGGTAATGAAACCCCTCAACCTGCATTTTTCTCTTGGATAATTCACAGCAAACACTTTTCACATGTGATGGACACAGGTAAATATCAGACTGCAGTTTCTTGTCTAAGTGAAATGGATTTTAGTTGCTCCCTTCATGTGCCTACAAGCTGCCATTATCTGTGATAGTGGCTCGTGTCTATTTTAGCCCACACACAGAGGAGATGCTGGGCTTCTCTCCCAGATGCCTAATAGTAGGTTTATCACTGCCATTTTCCCCACATGCTGAGGACTACTTCTGTTTGACATGCAAAGCCTTGGCTTTTCAAACTTGTCTCTTCTCTGGCCTTGAACATAATAATCAGATAAGAAGTACAACAGCTTTTTGTAGAACTTGACTTTTAAACATATGAAACCTACCTGTAAAGAATTCACTCTTGCTTAGAATGCTTCTTTAATATAAATAAATACTCCCAGCAGTTTTCCATTTTATCAGAGAAATTTTCCACGTTTAGAGAAACTGAGAAAAAGACTGAAACTGAGTGAACATGGATGTATAAGTTAGATTCACCCGAGTTTTCTTGAACAAACAACAGTGGAAATTTGACAACTCCAGAGGACATATCGTCTTGTCCAAAGGGAGTTGCTTGAGATGAATTTTGAGGGGATTGAAAGTGCTCTGCATTTTGTCAGTCAAAATCTATGAGGAATGTAGCAGGACTTGACACAATGTGAAGTGCCTTAGCTTTCATCTGTGGTGCAGTCCCACTAAGGACGGTTCTGCAAGTACAGCTCTTGTGAGAAAAAGGAATAGATTTGAACTGAAGTCATGAGAAACAACATAGGCACAGATGCCCCTTCCCTCTAATTTCACCCAACAGAGATACTGCAGTAGAGTAGGCAGTAGACTATTACTTCACTTGGTAGTAGAGGGAAATTGAGGCTCCCTAATGGAAGATGGAGTTGGAAGCTGTAGACAGAAATTGCAGAGTGTTTTCTATCTTTTGGATGAAAACCAACTATGAACCCTCTGTGCTTATGGCCTTCAGTAGCCAGTCTCTGCCTGAGTCAACTGGTCCCTTCTGCAGCTCATGATCTCTCCCATCCCTTCATTCCAAAAACTTTACCCACATTAAATTTTTCCCCCTCTTCATTTTTTGACTTTTTTTTGAAAGAGATTGTAATTCTGGGTGTGTAGCAGATAATAGTGAAAATCTGAGCAGTTTTCACAGTCTTGCTTAGTTGTTTGTCCTAGGTAGACCTTGGCACAGAGATGGGAAAGATCTCTGACTGTCCCTGAAATACAGTCCATGAGAGACAGATCTGCAGTAAATGGAAATGAGAATAAGGACATGCCTCAAGAGCAACAGGTTCTTATTAGCCACAGTGTGCTTAAAAATACAGCACTAAAATTGTGACAATCTTGTTATCAGGCAAGTTACAATTACTCTCTTGAATATTCACTTACAGCTTCAAGTTCCATCCACTGGAGAGTATGTTCTTTAAGTCAGCACTGTGTCACCTATATGGCTATTGATCAGTACGCAGGCAGAATGTAAAAGTAGAATGTAAAAGTAGGTATTCAGTAAGTTTCCAAGCATGAAGCACCCTAGAAAAGCATGATTTTCTTTTTCTGTGTTTGCATTATCATGAAAAGTATGTAGCACTAAATGAGGACTAATTCAGGAATGGAGTGCTGGAGGTTGTTGATGATGATGATGATGCATGAAGCAGGAAGAGGATGCAACATAAGGGCAGCCCACTGAGCACAAGCACTGATAGCCCATACTGCTCAGTGACTGTGTATAAAATGTTAGTGCCTGGGAATTCTTTCTGGAATTTCCAATGGAGGCACAGATGAATCCATAAGAATTTCGCTGTAGTAGATGTAGTGTGACATCCTATCAGCAGTCTGGGTTACTAATATCATGACTCACAGGTTGTTGTTTTGGGTTTTTTTAAATAGTAAATCAAACTGTAAAACCAGAAGACTACATAGTGGGCATCAAGAAAATCTGTATCTCTCTGTGTCTATGACACAGATAGACAAAAAGATGATAAATAATGTGATAAATACACAAGATATCCATTAAGACTGCAAAAGAATAGCATGTGCTTCTTTCTCATTGTTCGTGTACTCGTGAAAGGTGTTGTACCTGTTTAAACAGTGTTCCTACTACAAGTAATATTTAAAATTCAGGTTGTAAATATCACCATATATTGAATACGAAGAAATCATTAAACTAAAAACTGATATTTGAGACTGCTTTCCTGTGGAATTCTAATAAGCTGTGACAGAATTAAAATATAATGCCTCATTAGTTTAACTTCCTATTACTTCTGTTTACAGCTATTGTAGGATTAGTTCTGCTGAAAGGAAATATGTGTAATTTGAAAATTATATTTGCAGAAGAAGCGTAAACAATCTATTAATTTAAAACAAATTATCTTTCTGCTGATCCACTGGAATGTTTTCCTTTAAAACAAAAAAGAAAGAAGGCGGCTGTTCGTGAGAAAAGTTTTGAGGAACACCAAGCATTTTCTTGAGCTGTTTTGTGTTCCATATTGCCTCTTGTAGTACAGCAATTATAATGTAAACCATCTTCTGGAGGTAGATTTGTGATATTTTTTAACATGAGCATGTTGGTGCTGAAAGTTTTCATTCTGTTACAAAAATTATAGCATTTATTACTCTATAAAAGGATTGTAAAATAACACATTTTTCAAAAACAAAATCTTGCCTAGTACCTCAAACCATAAAATCATTAAGACAGATGAATGCATTTCTTTTCCAGATGACATGAAGTCACATCCCTGGATATCTAAGGTGTGCTCCTGTAAACTGTGTTAGAAAACTCTGCTTAGCCGAAAGAATTAGAAGATGCACAAGAACAGTCAAGAAACAGGACCTGTGCGACGTGGACGTGAAATGGCTTGTCGTATTTATTATTGTGTACGTTTAACAATTCATTTGCAGAAGAAATACCTTCCATAAAATCAGCTTCTTTTTTGCTGATTTATTGACTTCAATTCACGCTTCCATCACTGATGGATTTACATTTATTTGATTAAATTTAGATAGTTCTCACATTGAAAATATCAACTCTTTATTTTTAGATTTTTTCACTAGTTTATGTAGTGATCCAAAATCTTACAACTTTGACCATAAAACATGTGCATCAATTTTAATGTTCTTTCACATACATCAAATTTAATTTTTTCTCTCTCGTTGCTTCTGACTTTTATTACCAATAACGTTTTAACACTGAGCAAAACTAAATGCATTTGAAATAATTAGAAATTTGTTTGAATTTAAAGGACAATGCACATTTTGAATTAAACATGGAATATTTAGAAACAACTAAAATATAAAGACCATTGTATGCATAAGACAACATGGGAAATTGATTGTAAATCTGGTCATGCCTAGGGTGTAAATTTTCCTTTTCTATAAATATTGCTGTCGCCATCATCTGTAGAAATGTAGTACCAGTATGAAGTTGTAGAAGCCCATTGGAATCCTCTTCTGAAATGATACATGTCACTGAATTTCTGTTTGCGCTCATTGGGAAAACCAACTATACATTTTTGTCTTTTTAAAAAATACATTGTTATGTTTGGAGAATATTTGCAGCTTATTAGACTCATTTACCATCTGGTGTTCTGGGGGATTTTTGCCAGTTTGACAAAGAATGGACGCTCAGATTCTGTTACCAGTAGTCAGAGTGCTGATGAAGTCAAAGGGACTCGAGGATGTGCTTTTCTGGATCTATATGTTATGGTGGAAATAATGATCTGATGTTATCCTTCCTAATTGTCACATTAGCCATAAGCTGCCTTAACTAGGAGAGTGAAGATTTCTTCAGTATGGAAAGATCAGCTGGCAATGAATCTCTTTCTTACTTGTGGGAAAATGTCATGGCTGTAGGAGTGACAAAACCAGATTTCTGTTGTGATTCTATGGCTTGAATTTGGTTCAACATGAAACAGACACGAAACCTTCTTTCTTCTGCTTTTTTATATCCCATGAGTCTGTATCTGTAAGTGCAGTGTATGGCAGCGAGGTCTCCAGCACACTGAGTGGAAGGGCCTTCTGAAAAGTAATATTTCAGTTTTTATTCAACTAAAGAATATGACATTAAAATAGGCTGTAATCCAGAAAAGATAAAAGATATTTAATGTTATCTTTCAGTAATTGTAAATACCATGCAGAAAAATGACAGAAAAATCACTAGTTTTAACACATATATCCTCTTCTTAACTGTTATGGTTAAATCAGAGTTGCAAACAGGAAGAAGGTTCATGTTTCAAATTTCAAATGTAAGTACAGGAATTTACTAACAGTACAGGAATCTTGCAGACAGTATAACAAATGGCAGATAAAGGATGGACCTTGCTATCTGCTTTGCCACATCTCCTTGTCAACAATCACCTCTAGTTCACTGCAGTAGTCTTCCATTGGCATTGAAAAGTCCGTTTCCCTTCACAAAAAACGTTACTGCTTCGCATCACCATCTGCTCACTTGGGCCAGCTCTGTTATTACTACCAGGGTAACAAATCTCCTTAAAACTATTTCTACTAGATATTTCTAAAACTGATGTGTTCAAAGAGGTCTCATAGCTCAAGGTATTGGCATTGTCCACAACACCCAGGACTGCTGTAGTAGCAATTACATTTGTGCAACACAATATTTGATTGCTTGTCTTTAATTCTGCAAAGCAGTGCACATCAGCAGACTGCCAATGCAGGCAGTCCTTTGGAACGGTTTGTGCGGTGATGATGGGTGTTTGGCACATGCTTATGCGTGCTTTGTACTAATTATAATTACACTATCAGTAAGGTAAGGCAGGAACTTTTTTTATTAGTTACGTTTATGTCCCAGTAAAGGAAATATATTTCCCATGTGTCTGGATGTCTTTCAAACAACCAGCTTTACAGTGTATGCTCAAGATGAACTCTTCCTTAGAACAATCTTTTTGCATCAGAGTGACAATTTTAGAGCTGTGCACAAAAATACATATTAACCTCTTGCAATTGTTTCTTGTAAGCCGTAACTGAAGAGACTTTTCTATACTAATGCAGTCTGATGTACCACTGTTTTCATGCTTATGGAGATTAATTTTACAACGAAGTTGCAAGGTAATTAAGAATATATATTTCTATTATGTCACACTGCAGGAATCCTGCCAAAAGCAGTAATATAATGTTTTAGAGAAGTTGTCTAAATTTTAGATATGGGGTAAAAAAATCGTGAATACCTAAACTGCTTAAGGAGCAAGGTCTTTTTTTTTTTTTTTTCTTAGAAGAAGGAAGCCGTATGCTTCTATGTCTCCTCACTTATGGTTGCACTAGTGCTTGTATGACCAGGCCATGTCAAGACAGGCGCTGGCCTTGGTGCAAAGAGCAGAGGAGGAACAAGCAAGCCAGGGTAGGAAGAAGGCAGAGATATCGTGTAAGTGTGAGACAACGCACACATGCATCAGCATTATCGCAGCACAAAATTGGAGGTTTAGAATGCTATATGCAGGGGTCTTTCTTGAAAATAGATTTTCAGCTTTCAGATCCTATAGGAATTTTTCACATTATGTGCGTAATTCATTATATTATTAAAAAATCTGAAGTATGAAGTTACTCGTCCTTTAGTATAAGCCCAAACCAAAACTCATTAGCGTCTCTCTGATTTGAGGAATTTTGAGTTTTCCAAATGATTCATACTTGCTAAATGGTCACTGATCTAGATTCCTGCCTGGAAACATCCCTAAACTTTGAACTGTTGATTTCTGGCTCCAAATCAAAACATTATATTTTGAAATCTGTTGTGCTGTTTATGTATTTTAAATTTGATCATTGAAATCAACGGCTTTCATTTTTGGGTTGTATTTTGTTGAGCAATGCTCTTTCCCAGTCCAATGAAAGACGTTCTGAAAGCAAATTGGCATGGAACTTGAAATGTATATATGTGAGATTCAGTGCTTCTTTAAAAAAAGAAACACTTTAACAAAACCACTATGTAATGGGAGCTACAAGCTCCAAATAACACCAGAAATCTAGCAAGGGAAGTGGTCTTGCAAGTCTGAGCTGAAATGTTGAGAATTCAGAAAAGAATGGGACAAATACAATAAGTAACGTTACCTCTCTCCATGTTTTCACTCCTTTTGACAGAGCATGTACTCTGAAGGCAGACTAGGGCAGTGAGCTCCAGCACAAATCTCAAAGTCATTGTGCCGGTGCTGAATCACATTGCGTGCACGTTCCTGATGAGGCATCTGTAAAGACAAAGTCCTGCTTCTCACAACAGATATTTCTGCTGAATTTTTCAGGCCATTCTTCTTGCATGAGAAAAGGATGCAGATGAATTTCAAGGGCTGGTCTTCACCTTTTTCCTTCCTCATGGGAGATGCAGTCTGAGCTGCTAGGCAAAGCTCTTAGAGTTATTGCTAGAGTTTGAGTTGAGTTATAATTTGAATTATGATCCCCAAAGTGAAAATTCATCAACCTTATTTTTGAAGAAGCAATACTGAACTTGGATGCAACATAAAAGTCACACAATAACCCAGAATTGTCTTACTGGGGACCATGGGAAGTTTGTTTCTTGAATGACACCTGCTGGAAAGTCTAAAGTGTGTCCAAGAGCAGTGCTGCAGGACAGAGGCACATCACATAAAGACTGCCTTCCCCGTCTTCCGATGAATCTGAATGTCCTGGGTATGGTAAGATGGGTGAGTACAAATATAGCTGTCAAGGTGAAGCAGTGCAAGTTGCTAAACAATATTAAACATTATGAAATTTAACATACATCTGCAGAGTTTTTTAGAGTGGACTGTGCATTTGATAAAATTCTTACACAATACAAATTTAATTGCACTTACCTTTTTCTTTCATGTATTTCTAGAAACCTTAGCTTAAGAAGACAGGAGTTGTGCAGCCTGAATTTACATTGTATCTTGCAAACATAGGGATAAAAGCTTTTTTGCTTTCTCTGGCAATACTCTCTTAGGATAGCTGTGAAAAATAGCGTCACTGGAGTAAGTTGTAGATGTCATTTCATTAAGTGCATTACTCCCTCTGTTTTTACAGCAACTCAGAGATTTATTAATTTATTATTTTTTTTTAAATTTGAAAGCTTAGTAGCAGAAAAATATTAACAATATCCAGCACTAGTAAAATATTAATATTGTCCTTATTTATTCTCAAATTTTATCTAAATAATGTGTAAACTTCTTGATAATAAGGACCTGGGGAAATTGTACTCTAAATCGTTGTGAATCTTCCACACAGAAACTCAGGGTAATAAAAGATTCTATTCAGTTTCAGGACTTTATTTTCTATAATCATGCTGGCAAACAGACTTACAGCTCTGCCCAGTAAATGCAACGTACATATTTTTGTTGTTTGTTTTGGTTTATAGTCTTCCTGCCATGTAGATGGCAGCAGCACTCAAGCCTTGAAATTTGCTTCAGCTTTTTCTTGAGTTTATTCCAAAACACCATGCTTAAGAATATTCTTGTTGAGAATGAACTGAAAGCATGATTACTTTAAACTTCATAATATCAGTGTTTAAAGACAGTGTGTCATATCTATATGAATATAGATGCCACTATTGGGGTTTTTTTTACATTAGGATGTATTTTCTTTCTGTAAATTAAATTCCTAGTATTTTTTCTACTGCACTAGATTTCAGGACACACACGGTGTTTCTAAAAGTTCAAAAATGTTAAGATTTACTAGGACAGTCCCCACATGTATTTCCTTGCAGAATGAGAAGCAGCTAGCAGGTGCTTGGGCAGGAAAGCTGTTCACTCTGGACATCCTTGTCGATGATACAAAGAGGAAGGACAGAGAAAGGCAGC